AATATCCATAGAAAAAATGTAGATGTAAATTATGGAATTTTGATGACTTATAAATTTGATTGTGGAGAACTCTTGGAATTTCACAATTATCTATTTCTTGAATAATATTTTCATATTGAACATTTTCCTCATTAACTGACTAGGTTTGGTTTGATATTGAGTTGAAGAAGAGGTGGTCCTTAAAAAGAGAAGCATCTTATTGTTATAAATTTAATTTTCCTATAGAAGGGGTTTCTTTGGAATTACCTAACAATATTTTTTATACTTACAAGAAAGAAAATTGTCTTATCTTGCCTAATCCATGGCTTACCAAGTTATCATCCTTAAACTCAGTAGAGAATGATAAAATATTGATAATGCAATTAAAACCTGATAACTCTATGATATAGAGTTATTTGGGCTTAATTTTGATAGTAATTTAGTTTAGTTTTTGTTGTAATGCATAGAAATTAGTAGATTTTATTTAAATAAATTTAAATTAGTTAATTTAGGTTTAATGATGGGAGAATTTAATAGAATAAGGAGAGCAATTTTGAGATGTAGACTTTCACTGCACATATTTTGGTATTTCAACTATAACTTTCTCTACAAAGCTCCAAATGAGATGATTCTTAGATCATTGGAAAGCTAAGACAAAAATATACAACTTTATGTTTACCATTTCACCCAGTTCAGCTTTAAAGTGGGTCAAAAAGCTTATTGAAGTTGAAGTACTATAGCAATTCAAGAGCAATTACAATTTCTGCTAATTAATTGGTTGAGACTGTGGCTCATATAGTCTGATGAGAAAATCCTGATTGGAATTAATTTCTTTCTTCACCCAACTTGGCCTAATTTCAAAGCTCTATAAAAACAACTTTTTGGAGAACTTTTAAGATAGAATGAAACATCAGATTGAAAGCTAAGAATGAAGCTGCAAAGTCACTGAAGTTGAGAAGAATTTAAAGGGTTCAAGGAGATTTGAAGATCAAGATTACGATTCATGGGTTTTTCTATCTTTTTGTTTTTCTCTTATTTCTTGGTTTTGTTTTTAATGTTTAAACTTTATTTGACAATGATGTGTGACTTGATGGGGAACTAATTCATTTATCTAAGATTATGATTGAACTCAATACGTAGTTTGATTTATTTATCTCTCTTTTGCTTCTATTTTATAGATTTAAGTTGTTTATTTTTTTTTGTTCTTAATGCTTCTAGTTGACTGTCCACCAATTAGATTGAATTGGATACCTAAGTTAAAAATGACGAATGAGATTTAGGTAGACCTTGAATAAAATAGCGTATGATCGAATACACTTAGTTGCTTGAATGGTTTGATTTCCATATGGGGTAAGCATATACCTATAAGCCATACGTAGCCAAAATTAGAGCAATAACTTAATGAATCTATCTTTAATTTAATTTGCATAGACATATAGTAAATTAATTAGGAGAGATATTTTTATAAGAAACTTGACAGAGACATGTAAATAATTTAAGACTCTAGGTTAGCAACTTAATTCATGAAACTAAGTTAAGAGAGAGAGAATAATCTACTGAGGGACATCATAATCTTAAGCCCGATAATCACAAGAAGTTAATAAAAAATTTTGCTAGGTAAATTTAAGGTAGTTTTAGTTTTTAAATTTTACTTTTTTAATTCAAATTTTAATGTTTGGATAAAATTAGGGTGTGCAATTTTAGTAATTAACAGTAAGAATTAGTTCAATTCCCTATGGGATTGACACTATATTCATTATTATATTATCTTTACAATACGTATATTTGTGTCGATAGAAAATTGAACAAGTTTTTGACACCGTTGTCAAGGAGTTAATTTTTAGTTCTTTCTTGTTAATATTAATACCAAGCATTCTTAATTTTAATCAACACTTTTCTTTTCTTTAATTTTTCAAGTACTTTTGGTCGTTGTGTGCGAAGAGTCTAAAATTTGAAAATTGTTCCTTTTGATCCAAAAATCGAAAAGACTTTTCAAAGACTTTAGAGGAAAAAGAAAAAAATTTCTACTCCAAGTAAAACCATGGCTGATCAACAAGAGGAAAAGACTAAGTCTTTAAGGGATTATGCTACCCCACGAGCACAAAATCTCCACTCTAGTATCCAAAGACTAACTATTCAAGCCAACAACTTTGAAATTAAGTCATTAATCATTCAGATGATTCATACTGTTGTTCAATTTGAGGGTTTGCCTAAGGATGATCTGGATGCTCATATTGTAAATTTTTAAGAAATTTACAATACATTCAAGGCTAATGGTGTTACTGATGATGTCATAAGATGAAGGCTTTCCTTTTTTCATTGAGAGATAAAGTGAAGAGTTGGTTAAATTTGCTTCTTGCTGATTTCATTAATACTTGGGATGATTTGGCTTAAAAATTCTTAGCAAAATTCTTCCGACCTACTAAGTCAACAAAGGTGTGGAATGTATCACTTCTTTCATCAATTTGATTCTAAGTCATTATATGAAGATTGGGAGAAGTATAAGGATTTGATAAGAAGGTGTCCTCACCATGAAGTGGCTACAAGTTCAGACTTGTTATAATGGTTTGTTGGGACCTTTTAGAACTACCATTGATGTTGCCGTTGGAGGTGCACTCATGAGTAAATCCATTGATGAGGCTTATGACTTGTTTGAAGAGATAGCTTCCAATAATTATCAATGGGCATTTGAAAGATTGGGTCTAAGAAAAATTGCTGGAATTCATGAATTAGATATGATAAATGCTGTTTCTACCCAATTATCTCTTTCGCAAGCAAAATAGATAAACTGAGTGTTAATGATGTTCAGAACTCTTTTATAATGCGTGAATTTTGAAGAGAAGGACATTCTAATGACAATTGTCCCATCTATTTTAAGTCTTGTCAATTTGTTGGAAATAGGCAACAGAACAATCCCTATTCCAGCACTTATAATCCTGGTTGGAAGAATCATCTAAATTTCTCATGGAATAACCAAGGGTCTTCATCATCATCTAAGTCAAACTTTCCTCTTGGATTTTCATCTAGAGCCCCCATGCTAAGGAAAAAGCCTTCAATGGAGGATATGTTTATGTAGTTCAAGACAAAGATTGATACCTTCATAACAAAGACTAATGCATTTATGACAAGGATTGATGCCTCCATTCAAAATCAAGCAGCTTTAATTAGAAATCTTGAGACACAAATGGGCTAACTTGCTAGTGCTTTAAATACTAGACCTTGTGGTACCTTACCAACTGATACTAAACTCAACCCAAGAAGAGAATGTAAGGAACATTGTAAGGCAATCCATCTTCACAATGGAAAAGAGGTAAGTAGTAAGATTTAAATTTTGAAATTTCAATTCAATCTAATGAGAAAGAAATTGAAAAAGATGCTGAAAAAGAAATTATGGTTCCAAAATCTATTGAAAATTCAGGAGACAAAATCATAATTAAAAACTACTCCTACATCTTCACCACCTTTTCTTCAAAGATTTCAGAAAGAAAAACTTGACCAACAATTCCAAAGATTTATTGATGTGTTTAAAAAATTACATATTAATATTCCTTTTTGCTGAAGCTTTGGAACAAATACCAAGATATGTTAAATTGTTGAAAGGCATCCTATCTAAAAAGAAAAAATTGCATGAGTTTGAAACTGTTGTACTTATTGAAGAGTGTAGTTCCATCATTTAGAATAAACCTCCACCAAAGTTTAAAGATCTAGGTCGTTTTACTATTCTTTGCACTATAGGTGCTCTTTGTATTACTAAAGCTTTATGCAATTTGGGTGCAAGTATAAATTTGATCCCATTGTCCATTTATAAAATAATTGGGTTTGGAAGAGAATAAGCCAACTTCTGTGACTTAACAACTTGCTGATCAATCCATCACCTATCGTTATGGTATTGTAGAAGATGTTTTAATAAAAGTTGTTAAATTTATTTTTCTAGTTGATTTATTATTCTTGATATGGAAGAAAATCATGAAATACCGATCATTCTTGGGAGACTGTCCTTAAGAACTACTAGAGCTTTAATTGGTGTGAAAAAAAGTGAGCTTACTTTAACAGTTGAAGATCAACAAGTACCATTTTGTATTTTTAGGGCTTTAAAATTTTTCAATGAACATGATGAATGTTTCTCAATTAATGTGGTGTATGACATAACAAATAAAGTGGTTATTGAAACTCATTATGATCCACTAGAAACTTCTTTGAATTCTTCATGAGATATTATTGATGACAAAGTTCTTGAATTTTCTAACCATCTTAATGCCCCATCACGTCTCCCAAAATCCCAATTTGAGTCTTTGGAATTATCAATTACAACTTTACCAATCAAGCTTTCCATTGAAGAACCTTATTCACTTGAGCTCAAACCATTAGCTAATCATCTAAGGTATGCTTTTCTGGGAAATTCTTCCATACTACTAGTAATTATTTCTTTTATTGAATAGGAAAATAAACCCCTTCGAGTTTTAAGAGACTACTACAATGCAATTGGGTGGACCATTGTAGACATTAAAGGAATTAGGGTATCAATTTGCGTGCCCAAAATTCTTTTGGAAGAAAATCACAAAGCAACCATTGAGCATAAACAAAGGCTAAATTCAATCATGAAAGAGGTAGTGAAGAAAGAAATGATCAAGTGGCTAAATATAGGTATTATCTATCTTATTCTAATAGTTCATGGATAAGTCTAGTTCAATGTGTCCCTAAGAAAAGAGGCACGACTATAGTCTCTAATTAAAATAATGAGCTTATTCCCACTAGTGTCAGTATAAGCCCTACAAGCCAATCTGTTGTTGTATGGGAATTGTAATTTTGAGATAATCATGTATGACATTTTGTTTTTCATAATAACATTGAGGTAGTTCTTTATCCATAAGTTTGTGATTTAATTACTT